CTTTATTTCAGTTAGTCCACACATCCATTTTATGAAACTGTTCTTATTATTTTAATTTCACACATAGTAAAACCAAAGTTCATAGAGCTTAAGTAAGTTGGTGAAGGTCACATGGCTATTGGGTGGTCATTCTAAGATTTGAATTCAAGCTTATCTGATTTTTTTTTAACTTTCATAACCAGAAATAGAATTTATTTTTCTATTATATATATTTAAGGTATACAACACAATATTCTTAACTACATATTGTAATTGAAAGGAATATTACAGTTAAATTAATGTCCATTCTCTCACATAGTTAGCTTTTGTGTGTGTGCCAAGAACATAGTCTACTCTATTAGCAAATTTCTAGTATATGTTACAATATCTCTGTAGTTCTCATATTGTACATTAGTTCACTAGACTAATTCATCTTACAGTTTTGTGCTTTTTGACCTACCTCTCCCTATTATCCCTCTCCCTCTGTTGATGACCACATTCTACTCCTGATTCTATGCTTGACTTTTTTTTAATATTCCATTTATAAGTGAGATCTTGCAGAGGTTTTCTTTGTGTGTTTGGCTTATTTCAATTATGTTTTTTTAGGTCCAGCTACATTGTCTCAAATGACATGATCTCTGCTTATCTGACTGTAAACCAAAGTTTCATATAATCTCTGCTTCAGTCAAAATAGTGACTACAAAAATCACAGTTTTCACAAACTACTAGTAAGGCTCAAGATACTCTTACTGGAAAGTGGAGCATAGGCTTCAAAATTTAAAGATAATGCTTGTAACAAAAACTTGTTGTAGGGATGTCCTTAATTGGTGTGCTTTTCTGAATAATTTTGCGTTCCAGTACAATTCCTTTTAGAATTAGATGGGAGTGCAAATAGATGAATGAAAATTTCTCATGCTAAAGAGTAACAGTCCTCTCAAATATTAAATTTCTTCTTTCCTTTTGGTTCTCTTATTAAATCTACTGAGTTTTAGTTGGACACGTGGTCACTTAACTTATGAACAGATTTTTAAGGTTTCTTTGAAATTAATATGGCAATCTGTCTGTGTTCTGGGTGAAGTGATATCGTTGTGACCTCTTGATACTTTTTTCTTTGCAACCAAATGGAATGTAAAAGTTGTTGCAGGAAATGGAGTAAATATTTTAGGCTTGTTGTGGGAAACTATGACAAGAATTTACTAGCAACAAAGGAGTTGACCTTAGGCTTCTCAAACTTGAACTGTTACATGAGAGAAATAAATTACTATCTTGTTTAAGCCATAGTTATATTTGGATCTTTCTTATTGCTGAAGGAACTTATGTCACAAATACAATATTATCACTAAAGGAACAAAATAAATGGGAAAATTAGGCAAAAACAGTCAAAAATTAAATGGCACTATAGGAACTGTGTTTTGAAAGTCCAAACTTTCAAATAGAATTTGATGTTTTGGAAAATAATAGATTAACAAAAATGCAAAGGAGACACAAGTGGGTAACCAAGTGGTCTTAACTATATGGAAGAGTGCAAATTGTTGATAGAGAGGAGTGTGGTGGACAGGAAGTACAGGCTCCAACCACAAGTGGAGTTTCAGTACAGCTCAATGTTCATTTTATCCCCCTCCAGGAATAATGGGAATCCCAGTTACTTAAGTGAAAGTTCTCAAATTTTAAATGTTGATGATTGTGACCTAATGCTAGCTATCAATTCAGAATCACTGTTTCCTTCTTGCCCACTTAAAAAACCATATTCCAAGGCATGTCTTTAATGGTGGCATGTGATAGTCTTTGTCATTGGTACTATAAGTCGCTAGCTGTGAGCCAAATGATTTTTTTAAACATTTTTTTTCTTCTGCATTGTTGCTCATATGGATTTGTAAGAATTTTTTTAGATGGTGAGAATTCACCATAATTATCTGTGATAATTATAAATATTTCATCCCAATTTGACTTTTTACTTTGCTCATAGTAGTTTTGCCTTGCAAAAATGTTTTCTTTTTAGATAGTTTTCAATGTTTCTGTCATGACTCCTAGATTTTGACTCTTATTTAGAAAGTTTCTCCCTACCCTGTGATTATAAAGCAAATTTTCCATGTTACTTTATCTAATTTTATTTATAATTATGGTTTCACTTTTAGCATTGGAATCTTTGACCATCTGGAATTTATTTAATGTAATGAGGGTAAAAATGAATTAAAAAAATTTAAAGTTCCAGATGGCTTACCAGGTGTCCCCACACCATTTAAGGAGTATTTTTACCAGTTAGTTAAATCCTATGATTTACTTTCTAAAATGTTGTATAGCTTAAGGGTTATTTCTGGATGTTATTTTGTTCCATTTATCTCTATTTATTCCACATGATTTTAATTACCATAGCTCTGTTAATGTCTGATAGTAATAACTCTCCCAATTTTTGGTGAAAATGTTCATTATTCTTGCATATGACTTTTCTGTATTGACTTTAGAATCAGCAGATCAATTTTGGGAAAAAAATTGATATTTTAAAATTGGCATCTCAACTGACATGTTTTTGTTTTGATTGTTTCTCAAAATAGGGTTTTTACTTTTCTCTTTATTTAAACTTTGTGTTCTTCAGTAACAAAAATTTTCTTCGTAGACATGGTGCATATATTTCAATGTTTATTTTTAGATCCCCTCTGCCCTCTGCTGTCCATCCTTTTTTTCTCTCCTTTCCTCTCTTTTCTCTCTCGTCATCAATCCTCCTTTTTTTTTAGAAGTTCTCCCTCCTTTCTTCCTTCTTTCCTTACTTTTCCACTCCCCATTCACTTTCCTTCTTTATTTTTTACCTATTGTAAGTAGGACTTGCTCTTTCTCTGTATATATATATGTATATATACGTATATATATACACATATAGATATATAAAATCATACGGTTATCTTATAGGTCTAGCTTACACATATGAGGGGAAACATGCAACTTTTGACTTTTTGAGCTTGGCTTTGCTTAACATGATATTCTTCAGTTCCATTCATCTACCTACAAACAACATAATTTCATTCTTCTTTATGGCTGAATAAAACTCCATTGTGAATATACACTATATTTTCTTATCTGTTCTTCAGTTGTGGGGCATTTTGGCTGTTTCTAAAGCTTGGCAATTGTGAATAGTGTTGCAAGTGGCTCTACTGTATCTTGGTGCACATTCCTCCAGGTATATGTCTAGAAGTGGTATGGCTGAATCATATGGTAGTTCTGTTGTTAATTTCTTGATGGACCTCCATACTGCTTTCCATAGTGGTTGCACTAATTTACATTCCCACCAAAAGTGTATAAGAGTTTCCTTTTATTCAAATCCTTGTCAGCATTTGGTGTGTGTAGCCACTCTGACTGAAGTGAGATGAAATCTTATGTGTATATATTTACATTCTTGTCCCCCATATTTTGAAAGCTTATTTTTTCATGTGCTTCCATTGTCCTGTCATATAGTCTCTGTGTATTTGCGTATATTTTAGATCTTTAATTTAAGAAGTTTTTGATTCATGGAAATATATACCATGATTTTCCTCTGTGCTGTAGAAATTTCTAAAATTTGGGGTTTTTTTCTTCTTTTTTCCTCTCATTTTTTCCCTTGATGTACAAGGGAAATGCCTTTTCTTTTTCTTTTTTTTTTTTAAAGTACTTATTTAGGGATCTCACAATTTTTATGTACAGACATTTATTTGTGGAAAGCTCTAGAGTAGAATTCAGAATAGAGTGGTTCTTATTTTAAACTTTGACATAAAGTTCCTATGACAAAGGACTTGCTTTGTGTGTGTGTGCATGTGCTTCTTCATTACCCTGTGCTCAATACAGACCACAATCTCCAGTGCTCATCATAATCCAATATGTCATTTACTGACGACAGACTCCTCTCTATAAGAATAACGTGGCCATGCATTTCCCCATTCCTTGATGTCCCTGCTATTTCATGGTGACAAATAGGATAAAAGGAAGATCTCACTAACAAGTTGGGAACTCACTACAAAGTTGGGAGTTAAAAAATAAGGGGTTACTAATTTTGATTTTTGCAGTGAAAATATTCATGGGGAAAATGCAGGTTTGGGTCAGATTTGTCCAAGGTCAAATACTTTAGTTGTCTTCTTTCAGAATCTTCCTGAAATCCTCCTGCATGCACTTTAAAAAAATTATTCATTTATTCACATGTGCATACATTGTTTGGGTCATTTCTCCCCCCTGCCCCCTCCCCCCCTTCCCCCCTCAGTTCCAGGTAGGTCCTGTTCTGCCTTTATCATTAATTTTGTTGAAGAAAAGACACACGCATAATAAGGAAGACAACATGTTTTTGCTAGTTGAGTTGAGGATTACTATATAGAAATACTCCTAACATTGCTTTCGTGTACACATGTTACCTGCATCCACTTTTTAAAACTTTACTGAGTTGGGTGCAGGTGTCTCACACCTGTAATCCTAGCTATTCAGGAGAAAGAGATCAGAAGGATTCAAAGACAGGCCCAGGAAAAAACATTTGTGAAACCTTATCTCGAAAAATCCATCACTAAAAAGGGTTGATGGAGTGGCTCAAGTGGTAAGATCATCTGCCTAGCAAACATGAGGCCCTGAGTTCAAATCTCCATGCTTCCAATAAATAGATAAAAAACTTTATTGGATTTGGTAGCTCTCCGTATTTGTTGTAGTTTCTGGTTACAGATGTTCAAATTTTATTGGAGATGTTGGTATGTATTTTGAATTATTCTTATTCTTTGGATAGTGATTTTTTTAGGCAGTGAGGGAGAATGATAAGCAGTGATATGTTACATCTTAACATTTGAAATCCATCAGGTTGAACACATTTTGTGTATTAATTTAATTGGACAGACTCATTGTACATTATAAAATAGAGCTCTATTATCATCTCTCAGATTAACTCTATTTATTATAGATACACCAGCTGTGTTCATCATAAACAAAGAAAATTTATAAATTTTGAATGAATACTTCTAGCTTGAATCCTTTTGTTATCTTTAAAAACAAATTAAGAAATAAGAATTAAATTTATTTACCTATTAAAATAACTGCTCCTCTCCTCAGGTATGCTTGGGAGCTCCTCAGGAATCCTAAGGTGTCAGATATTAAATCTGTAATGAAGCTCTCATGAAAAGCAAGCTGAAAACACAAAGGAAAAACAGTCTTTCAATTGTTGGAAAAGGGTATCTGCTTCCTCCAGAGAGACTTAAAGACAGAACTTAATTGTTTATATTAAATTGGGACCAATTAAAAAATTGGGGGATTTTTATGTGTGAACTATACTTTCCTGGCTGCTTGCAAGTTTTCTTCTACTTAGGATTTGATGCCAAAACCTAACTTTGTATCTCCAACCCAATTTTGTTTCCAACCTATGGTAATCCTTCTTCCATCCTTACTTAGCTACCATTGTTTACTCCGGTTTTCAGGGAACCAACTGATGAGATGGTGGCAAAGTAATCTCAATTTTCCTTTTGGCTATTTGGAATGCCATTGACTCAAACCGGGTGGGCTGGAGGAAGAAGATAAATGATCAATATTGAGGAAGTGGAAAATTCTAATTTTCTCTCATTTCAAGCCTTAGCTATAATTACGCTTTCTTATTATTCCTTTTTCACATTCTTTCTCCATAATCTACCTTTTCACCATCACTCTTTACATTTCCTTTCAGTTTTTTCTGTAATTCTTATGGTAGGAAAGAGGGAAGGGCCACTTACAAGGTTGTTACAGATGTTGAGCACCACCAATTCAAAATTGTAATTTTCATCCTTGAGCAAATATGATGTTGACCACTTTAGTTGTGAGGCACAGATTTCTAATGTATATTTACATGCCTGTGAGATAGGAAAAGGTCAATGAAGGTCATCTGCTGTTACATAAAAAATTGTGATTTTTTTTTCTGCAAAATTAAGAAAAAGAAGAGCAAAAGGCTTACTTTTACTACTATTATCTCCTTGTCCTCTAGAAATAAGATCAAGGGCACCAAGCCTCCTAGGACTGTATGGTTCAGCATCCATGTGTATTGACTCATGTCCCTAAGTAATTCACCAAAGTGTCGGATGGCCATGCTCCGAATGCCTCTGTTACTCTGGAATATGAACACAAGAAAAGTAAAAGGCATCATGTGAGCATGATATTCATGCTGCTTTCTTTAATCAGTAGCATACATATCTGGTCTACGCATATATATACATATCTATATGTATATTAACATATACATAAAATTCTTACCATTTATTTTTAGGAAAGATTGGGTCTAGGTAGTCAGCTCTTCTTTTAATTTTGATTTTAACATAAGATTTGCTTAACTAAGGTATATAATAAGCCTACTTACCCATGAATGGAAGAAAAGATTAGGAATATACACATACACACACACACATACACACACAAAGAATACTTTCAATCTTAATAAAGAAGAAAAACCCATCATTTCAACAATATGGCTGAACCTGGAGTGTCCTCCATTATGCCATATGAAAGCAACAAGGCACAGAAAGACAATCTGTCTAAAATAGTTGGACTTGTAGAAGCAGAGAGTAGAACAATGGCTGACAGTGACTGGGGATAGGTTAGGGGTCAAAGAATGGAGGAGATGCTTACTAAAGGATACAAACTTTCATTTAGACAGGATGAATAAATGTTGAAGATCTAATGTATAGATGGTGACTATAGTTAATAATGTATTTTGTACTTGAAAATTAAGAGATTGATCTTAATATTTTCATCATAAAAATATGTCAGGTGATATATTCTCTTAATTTAATCATTTCACAATATATACATATATCAAAACATCACATTGCACAACATTAATATACATGATTTTATTTGTCAATTACACTTAATAAAGATGGGGAAGATAGTGAAACTGATTGTAAAAGGATTTATTTACCAAAATTCAGATTGTATTAAAAAAGTATAGTGTGAAAAGTGAGTTTCTTAAGTTTAGGAAGATGGTTCATATTTAATAACATCCTGAAAGTATAAACTGAAATATACTTTATAACTTGAGACTAATTCTTATATCAATACTAGAGGACTTTGCAGAATTGCATCTGAATATTGATGGAGCCCTTTGCATTTTGCCATACAACTAGATGTTCAAGAGAGGTAATTGTATTATAAAGAGTATAAAGGAGAAAAATTTCAAGCAGAACAGGAAGCTAATTTTTAAAAAGTCTAATATGTTTTAGGTTCTTTTTTCTTTTTGGTGGTGCTGGGGTTTGAATTCTGGGCCCTGCACATTCTAGGCAAGCACTTTACCACTTGAGCCGTATCTCCAACCCTCATCTTCTAGTTTGGAAGATATGTTTATGATCTCATCTTGAAAATATTTTTATAGAGACATACCAACGACTTTATCAGCTGTACAGGCCTTTGCAAAATATTGACTGTCTGACTCAGTTTCCTTATATTTAAACTGAGTAGCAATAACAGAGTTGCTTAGGAAATTAGGTTAGGCATATAAACCCTGCAGGAGAGTGATTCATGCATGGTATATGTTCAATACATTTTAGTCACATTATTACCACGGTGTCTTTGTGAAAACCATTTTGTCCCAAATTCCTCCTTTCTGCAATTTAAAAATATTGTTTCCTTCTTTGCTGAAATATGAATAATTAAGATACAAATTTTTGTGAGATGATTTACTATGAAATAATTCTCTGGCTTACAAACAACTTATGAAAGTCTTAAATACAGGGTGCTATAGCATACCCAGGAGTTCTTATTTATTGAAATATGTTATTCTTGTTCAAGTTTTCTGGAGCACATTTAGCACATGAGAATTTTCAAAACTCACTTCTTGTGAGATATTTTTAATTAAAATCTTACATGATAATAAAAAACATTTACTTGGGCTAGTGCACATATCAGCTCAAACTCATAGTAAACCTAGTATTGTCTCTGTTTTATGGATGGGGAAACTGATCCACCAGGAGACTGAAGAAATATCTTACAGAATCACAGCTAGTAAGAGGCAGAACAAAGATTTTAATCTAGCCAGTCTAGAAATAAGTTTAATTAACATATAACCCCTAAGCTAAGACTTTTCTTTCATCCAAGACTGAGAGTCTTCTTTGATTCTCCTTTCTTATGGACAGACTTTCCTAGATTCCCAGAGTTTAGTTTAAAATAAAAAAGAAATACCGGATGAATACTATTATCTCCAGAAAGAAATGTGTAAACAATGGTTCTCTTTTGCTGACTTATTCTGGGATATAAGATCATTGCCTCAACTGGAGCTTCAACTGAACCACAAAACCTAATGGACTGACACTTCTAACTGGGTAACTCACATGATCCATCAGAGGACAGTAGCTGGAAGCGATTCTGGTACACAGTGAAGAGTAGGTCATCTTGTCCAGTCTGCTTAAAAGCCTTCTGAGAGTGAGTAAGGCTCTAATTACAACAGTCTTCTCTTTGGAAAGGAAGGCATCCAGGATGGATATTAATAAGCTGCAGGAATTTTCTATCTACATATAAAAGGAAGGAAATGTAGGTTTTGGGATTTTTGGAAGGACACTTGAGCTGAGATTTGGTGTGCACAGCCCTGAGTCTGGTGTGCTGACACTGGCTCACAAGAATCATTTGTCAAATTGTGAAAAATTCTGTAAACTGATTGTTTAAAAATCATTATTAAAAGATTAAATTGCATAAATTTAAAATTAACAAAACCAAAGTAATAGATACCAAAAAATGATCAATTTTTAATTCTTTTGCTGCATGTTATTATTTTATACACTCAAGATATTTATGTACTATATCTGCATGGTGGGGAATATTAAATAATGTGTCATTGTACATCTCTGCCCAATTCTGTGGTTAGTAACATCACTTTGATAGATTGAAATTAGCCATGGTGAGAATATTTACACCAGAAACATTGATATCATTTCCAGGGGTCTGGTCACTAAACACTTACCAATAAGTGTTGGCAGTATGATCTCTAAACTAGATTACAGTGACTTGTTTGGACAGCAGAACTGCTGAGCTATTGAGGCAGATCATGGAGTCAATTGCAGGTCAGAGTCAAAGAGAACAGAAGGTGAAAAACAGAAACAGGAAATACCAAAGCAAAGAAAGAAAGGCAGGAATAAAAATAACGGAAATAAATAAATGGTATCTGTCAAAATAATAAGGAGAGAAAAAAAGAAATAAGGAATATATCAATGCCCAATCTCACTTTTGTTCAGCTGGAAAGTTAAGTCTCTTTTTTAACAGTAATGAAACTTTAATACAGATCATTCCATTATTTCTCTGCCACTGTCCTACCCAGCCTTGAAACAGAATCTACCTTTCAGTTGTTAATAACATGGGGATGAGCTCAGTGCAAAACACTAAATAACTTACTAATTACTAAATGAATGAACACTGCTAAAAATTCAGTTGACTTGTATGATTTATTAAAAGCAAACAGACTAAGACTCAAGTCATTCTGAATGCAAAAATGATGGCTTTAAGCTTTTAGAGACTATGCTCAAGAGAGAAGCAGCACTTTATTGTTAAATCAACAATAATTATGGAAAATTTACAGTCTCAGCCTTGTGCAAGATAGTTTAGAATATGGAATTTCAAACCATAGGGGCATGTGTGTATTTAATCAACCTGGACAGCAAGAAGTATTCACATGAGTTAGTGGGAAACAATGTCAGACAATGATTCTCAACTTTGATCTGTATTGAAGTCATCTGAGGACTTTTAAAAACACAGACTGATGGGTTCTAACCCAAAATTTCAGATTCTGTAGGCTTGGGGTGGGGCCCAACAATTTGCATTTCTAACAGGTTTCTAGATGATTTTGATGGCTTTGACTCAAAAACCATACTTGAGCATCACTGACAAAAAATACTACATAAGTAAGTGCTTATAGTTGGTATGGCTCTGAGAAGAGTGAGGTTGCTTCAGATCAGAATTTTCAGTGAAGTTAAAGTTAAGATCACTGAAAAAGGAGATAAATGTATGTATAGATGATTGAGGAAAGTGTTATAAATGGAAGAAAAGACTGCAGCAAGTGCTCCAAGATGGGAATTAATGAGTACATAAGTGAGAAATTAACTTATGTGTTCATGGTTTAGACTGGAAGAAGAGTCTGTTCAATGATCGTAAACAAATTCTGAGTTCAATGAATGATTTTATGGAAAAAATTATCTTTCCATTCAAATCAGTTTCCTCATTAAAAAATACCAGGCTTTTCCTTATTAAAATAATATCAGGCTTTGATACTGTTCTAGCTATACAGAAACTGAAAAAAAATCAATGTTTTATTGTAAAGATACAGAGCAATATCAGAATATTAGGGTATGGCTTTTATGCTGGCAGACACAAATAACACATCCATACATACTTCATTGATAACTGGTGACATGTTGGCGATTTTCTGAAGGCTCAATTTGCTAACTTCAGGATTAGAATCATTGACCCAGTTTCTGAAGAGGACCAAAAATTCTTCTGGGAATGGGTCCTTGAAGAAGTTATTCAGAATCTGAAAGAAAACAATTAATGAGTGGAGTCAGGTCAAATGCATGATTTTTGCTTGTCATAAAAGCAAGACATTTTCAGTAAAATTATAATGCAAATGCTATAGACTCCAAGTATTTGCATGTATTCCTGCATGTATTTCTGTGCTCACAGAAGGCGGAGACAGTCATCAGAATAAGAGAAGATGCTTTGCTCTATTTTTGTTTTGTTTTAATAATTAATCTCTATTGTTAGAAACTGAATGACCCAATTTAAATTCTCTTTTGGATTACAGTCAGATGAGTATATTCATATATGCTAAGAGGTAATGCCTATTATGCCCAGGGAACTGCATTAGGAAATAGGAAAGAAGTGGTGAGCAAAACAGTTTTAATCCATGACCTTCTTGATAGACTAGCTGGTGAGACTGATGCTATATAATTACACCATGCAATACACTAGTCTAAAGAAAACTGCATTGCTAACAGTATTAGGAAGGAAAGCTACAAGATGACACAAGAACATTTACAGGAGTACTGAAGTTAGATTGTAAAGAATTATTTAATTTAGAATGAAGAGTGAAATTTGGATTTGGACTTGAAAGTAGAGTTAGCATTAGATAAATAATTTGGAGAAATTAGTTCCTAGAGCCTGTGTAAAAGACCCTGAGGTAGATGGAGCAGGGCCTGCATCAGAACCTAAAAGACATGAATGAAGACAGAAGGAAAGACTGGTGGTGGTGAGGCTACAAGGAAGGTGGGGAAAGTAGCTCAAGGCCAGGCCAAGTTGAGGAGGTTTAGTCTTATTTAACAGCTAATGCCCCAAATGAAGTCATTGGCTCACAAAGATCATCATGATCCAGCTTGCAGCTGATAACTGGCAACCCAATATGCATGTTCTAAAAATCTCTTAGAAACACTATGACTGTTATATAAGCACATAAAATTCACAAAAGAATAAAAAATATGATAAAGATAGATCAAGTACATAAAAAGACAAAGCGTTAGAGAGTAAAAGAATGAAAACAAGTGCTAAAGTGAAAGTGAGGAGAGAGACAATGAATGAGAGGGGAGGAGAGGCCATACTTTCTTTTTAACAATCTTCTGAAGAACTTTCACAAAAATTAAAATACCAGGTCAAAAACTATCAATAATTTCACTAAAGCAAAACATTTAAAAAGCACTTCTTAAACCATGAAATAATAAAGTTTAAATGGAAACAAAGAAAGACTATATCAATTGAAAATTTAAGAGAATCCTCTTTCAATTTTTGGGTCAAAATCTTAAACCACAGAGGAGGTGAGATATACAAGAAGAGTTACTACAAAATAATGAAAACCAACAAAATAATACATATATATATATGTATTGCAGTTGGAAGTTAAGTGTGTAAGTTGGGTTTATATACCTTATTTTAAAAGAAATGTAGAAAATGAACAAATTATTTCCTGAATTAAAAGAAATAAAATATCAGGAAATATGAAATAATTGTTAAAAAATCAGCATAAGGAAAAAAAATTAAGATAAAAGCACAAATCATTGAATTGGGAATCAGAAAAAACTAGATTGAATAAATCTAATGCCTTATGCTCAGATAAAAAGACATTAAAATGAACAGACTTTGACAAATATGATATAAAAAAGGACAAGCAAATGAGTAGTGAGAAAAAAAGTACAGAATAGATTAATAAGAGTGTATCCATGTGTGCAGTTCTTAACCAAAGATGAGCACAGGATCTTCCAGGGCAGCCTTTCCATAGGGCATCTGCCTAGACTTCATCCCAATCACACCCTCCAGGGGTGGACTCTGGCTTGTGTGCTTAAACATTCCTTAGTGCTTTTAATATACCTGTCTAGTTGAGATCCATTAACATATGTCAATTATCTGAAATTTGAAGTGAAATGAGTTATTTTTTAGAAAAAAAAATTACCAAAATTGAGCGAAAGAAAATTAGATAATTGAAATAGGTTAGGAACAATGGGAGACTGATAGTTAATGTGTTATTTCTGAACAGGATCAAGAACAATTTTTTTTGAGTAATTAAGGCTCAAAAACATGTAAAGACATATTTTTCCTTTGTAGTAAGTAACATGTGGTGGTAACTGGTGTCATGTGATAATTCTATTTCCCAATATTTCACTTAATGGTTTAAATATCTATTGATGACTTTTTCTTGACTCAGTTATTACTTTGAGGTTGCAAAGTCACGATTATCTCCACTTTATAGCATCCTTTTTACATAGAGTGGCTGTCATATGTCTGTTTATTTCTGTCTGTCTCTCTCTGTTTGTATCTTCTTACTTTCTTACTTTCAGTACCATCAAGGACTTATGAATAAAATTTTTTCCAACACATTTAAATCATTTACAGTTAATATTCCCTTTCATACTCAAAATTAGCCAGTAGGAGCCACTTCTTGGTTTGTGGAAAATTTAGATGTCCCAGACTTATTTTACATTTTCCTTGTCACCTGGAATCAGCCATTTCTTCAAGGAGACAGGCTTCCTTTCAGTGAGTGACAGTGTTAAGAAACCATTAGAAATGGGTTGTAGGGTTTACTTATTACTACAGGAATAACACATCTTACTGTTTTACAAGAATATCATGTCTATCTGTCCTACTCATAGCTAGGAAATACTTTTTTTCTTAAATAATAAATTCATACTGACAAATGGTGATTTTTAAAATCCAAACCTAATTTTACAGTTTATCTTAACTTTTTGCAGTTTTATGTTTGCATTACCCTTCTCTTAAGCTTATTGCTTAATAGAATTAATATATTTAGCTATTTGATTTCTGCTACATAATAAATGCCAGTTTTAAAATTGTGATATCAATATATATACCAAATAAACCTCTTCAGTAAAAATAAATATATCTTTATGGGCTTTTTTGTCCTTAGAAAAATTCTTGTTAAGTCAATTACTTGAAGTTCACAACTCACTTGAAGTAATTACATTATCTATAGGGTTAGATACAAATAAACTCCTTTGTATCAGTTTGGCTTATGATTCATTTCTTTTTTATTTCATTTTATTTTTTCACTAATAGCTATGCAAGTCAAAACTACACAAGAATGCATATTGAAGAATTTCACTTCCATCCTTATCAACCCACCCCAACTCCTCTCACCTTTTGCAAAGTAATGGTTTTCTTTAATAGTTGCTTTATCTTTTTTCTGTTCTCTCCCAAATGAAGTAAGTATACATTTTTAAATTCTTAAATTTATAAAGTGTAATAGAAATATGTAGAATTATATATAATACATAAAGCATATAAATATAGTGTGTATTTCCCAAAGTATTAGCTTATGTTCTTGCATGCTTCTATATTATAGCATATAATACATTTTTTTTCTTTGCCACCCTAGAGGTAACATCTGTGCTGTTCTGCAGATTTTTTATCCCCTGCATCTCTTTGAAATCTCTCTGCATTAGTGCATACTGATCTACCTCATTTATTTTTATGGCAACCTAGTACTTAAGTTGTGCTGATCACAGATGATTTTAACTAAGGAAGTCTTATAAAAATTTTATGTAATAGATTATTTCTAAGATCCCAAAATTATTTAATAGTACAGAAAAGATTTCAAATTACCCAATTGTTTTTAAACAATATAAATTTAATAAAATCTCATGCCAAAATTTGAGATAACATATAGTATATAATTATAGGATAAAATCACCTCTGAATATGCATGTGAAAATTACTCCCCCAACTCAGTACTGGGGATTGAATCCAAAATCTTTTTTTTTTTTTTTTAGAACTAAGGATTGGCGTATGCCATTGAGCTTTGTCCCCAGTCCAGATGCAAACATTCTGAATAAAATGTGAATAAATCCATTTCAAATAATTTCTAGTTTGTGGAATATTGCAATGATATTTTAATATTGGACCTTTTAATATTATGTATCATTAACAAGTCCTGTAAGAAAAATATCACATTTTACCTACTTAAAGATAGTTAATAGATTCAACATTCAAATTACAATTATGAATAGAATGATAGCTAACTAACAACAATCTCTTTCCAATAAAAGTCAACCATGTTAATGGTGAAGCAGAAAAAGCATTTCTATTAAATCTGTAATGAAATAAGAGTGGAGCATTATCACTATGAGTATTTAGAATTATACAGCAAGATGGGAGGATATGAGATTCTATCATCTCCATTGCAGCGATAACTTCACAGATATCTACAGGCAAAAGTTTCCTTGTGGGGGCTCTTTTGGATTTTGTTTGAAGGTTGCAAAACCCTGGTGGGGATCAATATTGGGGAGGGTGTTTTGAAGGTACAGACTCATGTCCAGGTGTTAGGCTTGTCAATTATGGTCACAGTTCTGGACTTAGAATGACTCTACCCCATGTGGCTTTTGTGGGGACATTATTTTGCCTTAATCCAGCCACCAGAACCATCAATCAAGGAACTTGGGAAAAGTCATGCCTCATGTGACAAGCCTGGCAACGATGGTCTTAGCAGTAGACTCTGAAGTGGCCTTGTAATTTAGCTCAAACTCCTTAGCAATTCTCTGGGCTCAGGGACCTGCAGATGGGACACAACCATCTGTGACCCTGAAGGAAGGATTGCTAACCTTGGTCCCACAACAGATCCTGAAAGATCACTGTAACTTGGCACTGGTGACTTTCAGCTTCAGCTTGGGAGAAATCCTGCCTACCCAGAAACCAACTGGGAGACACAGCCATCTACGTACCTTCAGACAGGCCTGCATACAATAGTCTTGACTGTGGAAACTGAAGATGCCTTTTGATTCAATTCCAGTCTCACTTGCCTTGCTATGGGACCCATTCTGCTCAGGGACCCACCCAATATCAGAGTATGAATACTCTCATGGACAGAGAGGGAGCCGTTTCTATTCACACACTTGGTAACAAGTCTGCCATCTGTGAACCCTGAAGCAGACCCTCATTCCAGAGCCAACCTTACTAACCAAAGTCCTAAAGGAAGTTCATTTCACCTATGAACCACACAGGATTCATGTCTGCTTGAGCTCCTGGTAACAAGCC